ATGTTAATAGTTTGAATGTTTGTCTCTTTTCCCTCCCCTCTTGCCCTACTTAGACAGAATTGGCATTGAGAAGAGAGAGTAACTAAAACATAATGTTCTTCTATATTGTCATTTCAGGTTGAGCACTTGTTGAATGATCGACTGTTGCAATTTGTTGACATAGATTTGCATGATGTCAAGGTACTAATGTTCTTTTAATACTTTTTCTGGTTATATTTTGTCTTTGAGTTCCCCAAAATGATTTTTAAAAAACTTTCTCTACAGGCTGTATAGTACTATCCATGTTATCTTTTGATTGTTTCAATTTTCAAGTGCTTTATGATTCTTTATTTTCATCTGTGGCTTATCATTGAATGAAATATTTGGTCGGTTTATTTGTAAATGTGACTGGCTAATCTTAATTATGTTTTCTATACTTGTTGGTCTAAGTTGACAGTCAGGGAAGACTGTACAACAACAACAATAACAACATCCAAGCCTTAATCCCAAAAGATTAAGGCTTTCTTAGTACAAATTTCATAGTAATTTTACTAAAGGGTGCGGTTAGTGCAGGAAGCTCGAAAGTGCTTTGACAAGGCTAGCATTCTATAGGATCAAGAAATCGCTTATCATTCAGTATCACTTGGATAATGTTGTCATTCTGTTATGAGTTATTGGGTTATGCCTTTTTTTTTTGCCTTTCAAATGACATTTCTTATGTGTGCATTCTGATGTTTGTTAGCATCTTGATTGTCATTCAACTTCTTGACGGTTTTTTCTTTTTGGGGTGTGGTACACTGTACACTTATACTCTGATTTTCCCTGTATCATCTTATACCGTTTTTTATATAACAAACAGCTGCAAAGCATGGAAGAAAGTGCTGAATCTTAGTAGTTAGAGTAGAAGTCATATAGTTTAAAGGTTTGTTTCAGAGCTGCTCTACACCATGTATTCCTATTTCTGTAACTTTCGCTGCATGATTGACGTCCTTGTATTCATTTTCAGCATTTTTGTCTTAAAATAAAATTGCAGGGAAGGGATATGATGATGATATTGCTTTTGCAAGTGCTCTGGAAACTTTTGGTTGGGGGCACAACGACCCTATTAGTGTTGCTTTCCAATCAAGGAGAGAAGACTTTATTAGCTCCATGAGTTTTTATTCCAGATTCTCACCATATATAATCACAATCATCATATTCTTTCCAATAAATCACTCCATTGATATTTTTTCTAGATTGTTGTGCTATTAAGTACATTGTTGTATGTTGTATTTGTGTTACGTTACTAATTATGTACGTAAGTAACATACTAATTCAGCCTCGCATCCTCCTATAACAGTTTTTGTTGAAACTTTTTAGTTTTTTTTTTGTCTTTTCTTGTTTTCCTCTTCTCTAATTGCACCCTTTGACTAAAACGTATTCTATGCAAGCCACAGATCTAATGCCCCAACACATCTCCTTCTCCTCTAAGCATGACTTTACTTGACATAAACATGTAGGATATTAAAATGTTCAGGTATCATCCCTTCTGGTTGTGTTTTTTCACTTCACATTTATATTTTTTTCCACTTCACTTTGTATATACTAGAATTTCTATAATAAAAAGCCATTAATTTATGTTTTGCCTGTTTTCTTTTCACTCTCCAAAACTCAAAAGCAAAAGTTGAATGAGAGAAAAGACGGTTCGTAAATGTTCAATAAAAAAGCTAAGCTCCCCACCTCAATTTCAACAAAAGCTATTTTATGTACTTCCACACTTTGCTCTCATTCGGAATGTTTTACAGAAAAAATCTATTGTTATACACTTCTCCTACACACACTTGTACACTCGTGTTTGTGAAGGGTATTTCTTGTTTGTATACAGACACAAGGTATTTTCACATACGTTGTGTCTATATACAGACAAAAAATACCCTTCACAGACACGAGTGTGTAAGTGTATGTATGAAAAGTGTGTACTTCAAGTTGGATTGATGTTTTACAACTTCATCCTCTTTGCAATTTTCACATGTAACGAATCAACCAAAGTATCATAGGATTCATAGCCATCTATTATATCAATTTTTTTATGATTTGTTCTTACGTGTTCATCTCTTATTTACTCCCTCTGGTTCTAAATAAACTTCACACTTTCCTTTTTGGGACGGTCCAAAATAAACTTCACACTTCCTTTTTTCCTTATTTGGCAAAGAAATCTACATCAAAACAGTGTTAAACAGTGCCAAACAGTGTCTCAACAGTGCCAAACAGTGCCAAACAGTATACTCTACAGTAAAGTCAACTTTATTTCCTTAATAACTGTGAAGTCAAACACTGAAGTTTAAAAAGAACCGGAGGGAGTGATAAAAGACTCTATTATGTCATTTTGGCTTGGTAGCACCAGAGCCTTGTTAAAAAGATCATCTATTCTTAGAGTGACTGATAGTCTGATAGTAGGTGTACGGCCTATGGTTTACATAATATTGCTTTATTTTTATAATTTAAATGGTAGATCACTCTATTATACTCCCTCCGTCCCTTATAACTTTGCCAACTTTCCTTTTTTGGATGTCCCATTAACTTTGCCACTTTCCCTTTTAAGTAAAGAATTTGTGGTTCAAGTTAATTCTCTCTCTTCTGCACAAACCTCAACCACACAGTTTTTACTTTTAATCCTCGTGCCGGTCAAACTTGGCAAAGTTATTAGGGACGGAGGGAGTAAGTTATAACCATTATCATATTGGTTTTGCTACTTTCTCCAGAAGACCGGCCACTCTAAGGACCCCTCTTCTACCACAATCATTATTCGCTTGCCTACTAGGCGCCTATCAATCATTTTTTTTATATTATTTATCCTTTTATATCGAAACCGGCCCCTAATTTCAGTAATAATTCGCCACATATAAATATATACTCCCTTCGTCCCAAAAACAACTTCCCACTTTCCTTAAATGGATGTCCCAAAATTAACTTCACACTTCAATACTTTCCTTATTTGGCAAATTATCTACATCAAAAAAGTGATAAACAGTGTCAAACAGTGTTTAAACAGTGTCAAACAGTGTTTAAACAGTGTCAAACAGTGTTTAAACAGTGCCAAACAGTGTTTAAACAGTGCCAAATAGTGCACTTTACAGTAAAGTCAAATTTATTTTCTAAAAGTGTGTGAAAGTCAAACCGGGAGGTTGTTTTCGGGACGGAGGGAGTAATACCATGGAGGTCCGAAACTGCACAGATCCACCCCTAGTCCCCTACTCACACCAGCAAAATTAATGACAATATTGGATTACTAATTAAACTAATTGATTAGTTTTTTATGTACAAGTCAACATATTGTTAAGGAAACCAAGTCAATCAGAACTTGTTGCTCGCAATCTTCTTCAAAAGGCAGTACAGCCTGTTCCAAATATCAGAAACTACATCCAGAAAAGCATCCCAAAATGATTTTAGGCAAACACAAAAGGATTTGATGCCAATACACCTCATTGCTTTATGCCATTCTCCTCTTTCATAGTGATCCATCAAACATGATTTGGTTACAGTGGCCAAGCTATTAGAAAAGTTTCATGGATAACTTTACCACATTTAAACCATAGATTAAAACGACTATCTCTAATCTACTTGCATGTTTTTAGAAATCAACATGACCAACTTCTTTGAAGTAAGGTGTGATCCCATCAAATGAGGTGTTGCATAGGTTAACTGGATCCGAAGAAAAGCTCCTCGTGAAAAACACTCCATGACGCCCGTAGCTAAGCTTTCCTTTGCTGAGGTTGGGTTGGCAAATGAAGGAACTGCCAGCCGGTATCCTGGGCGAAAATACTTCCGAATCAATTTGATAGGTGCAACTCTGAATCAACTTAAAATGATAATGAGAAAGTGGAAAAGTTGATATGAATCAAATTGATATTATGACATGTCCTATAAATAGCATTCGCAACATAAAACGTTAAAGCATTTGGGTGTACACATAAAAGTGTTTTTGTCTTAATTAATGTTATTGAAATAAACTCAAGTTGCAACCTTTTATCGTCAGACAGACATACTATTAATTTCCATACTCAAACACGAGACTAGAAATCTAGAGTAGAAAAATAGCTCCTACTTTATCCAGATTGTGCTAGCAGGGTATATCATAACACCATTCCATCATGGCAAAGAAGTGTATATACAAATTTTTATGCTTAACAACATCCTAGAGTATATGCCATGAATAAGCTCCGATGCTGAAGTATTCATATCATGAAAAAACATTTACTAAAGACTTTGAGTACATGTTAGCTTTTGATGTCGTTAACAAGAAAATGACGGTTCAAGAGGGGTATATAGGGGTAGTACATTTAGGAAATTATTATTAAGTAATTCAATTACTTTTAGTAAGTAATTCAATTACTTTTAGTAAGTACTTCAATTACTTTTAGTGGTTTATCATTTATGTAGATTCATCTCAAATTATTAGTATTAATGATCAAAAGGAGTATATACTTTCCTAAGGGTCTTAATTATTGCCAATCTGCTACTTATTGGGTCTCGATGGATTGATATAGTGATAGACAATGATCTCAATGGTAAAACATGAATTGAAATCATTCTACACTCTAGATGTGGAGTAGATTTAGAAGCTCCCAACTACCATGAATAAAGACACTGTCTGATTAGTTCTGGACGGTGATAAAAAATAGAACAACTCCTGGATTTTTTTTGAAAGAGAATAACTCGTGGAGTTGTTCACGGATCTTATCATTCATGGACAAAGATAATAAAAAAAAGACCAACAAAAATAGTTTTTTATATAGTTAATTGATTAGTTCAGACCAAAACTCTTTTGTTATTAAGGCTTGAATGTCTTTGTTGTTTGAATTAGTTCTGATAAAACTTGAAACTGAAATAGAGAGAAAAACGTACAGTAAATAAACGAAAGATTACCGGAATTTAGGCTCAATTCATGCTTTACTTTAGAAGTCCTACAGATCGGTTGGGGCAATACTTTTGGGGAACTAAACTGTTTATGTAAGATATCACATAGACAAGGATGATGAATCGTGAATGGAAGGAAATGGAAGTTGATTCTTGCATCAAGTTCCTCGCACAAACTATAGAGAGTTCTTATAAATACATAACCAGATAGAATCCAGTTTCTCAATTCAATTAAAATAAATACTACGCAAGAAGAGATTGAAATGTTGTAGGATGATTAGTAGTCTCCAAATGATGATATAGAATTCCATGCCTTTCAAGAAATCGAATCACGTAGGTGTTTGGACTTCTATCATGAATCATGATTACTAATTACAGAAGTTATCTGAACAGGAAGTGTTCCATCTTGCTACCCATGCAATAAATTTACAAGACAGTGGTCCTGCTTTGATGCAAGAACTGCAATCTTATAATTTGGATCCGAAGAAGGCACTCGAACAATAGATATCGTTGATTTGAACGTTCTTGAAAGCTTTAGGAAATCCTCATCCATTTTGACACGTGACCATTTAGCAGGATTAAACACAAATTCACTTCTTGAGTGAAAAACATGCTTATCTTCCGGCAGGGGTGGAGACAGGTGAAGCCGAGGCCCCTGCAACAAAAAATTGTGATGTATATATTTATTAGTAAAAAAAATGGTGAAATTTAAGCTTTGGCCCCCGATAAATAAAATTTTTAAGCCCGGGCCTCCCTAACCTGCCATTCCTGGCTCCGCCACTGTCTTCCGGCATGAAGACATCAACATTAAGAATGTTCCCACGGATCTGGGCAGTGGAATAAATGAATTCCATGGTTGAGGGAAGTTGATATGGAACAGTCGAGGACCTCACCCGCAAAATTCAAAGTTCCATATCTTAACCCAAAAACTTTCAGAGGCTGTCCGGAGGAAACTGCTCGGCAGAGGAGGCTCATTGCTCGTTTCAACACATCCTCCCCTGTGCAGTTGGCTTTCCATTTATGAAGTAAAATTCAAAGATGGGATGTTTACGTAGCCACTCTCATCCTCTATGGATATACAATAGGTTTACCTGCAAATTTGCTTCTGATCTCTTGTGTAATTATATCAACTGGAAGTATATGGCAGAATGTATACGTCTTGTTCTCGACCTATCTTGACTGTGTCAAACTCCTTCAATAAATCTAATAAATTGGAATTTGTCAAATAAAACACTTTATTTCTTTTTCATTGTATCATATAAAGATTATTATGTCATACGGTTTGAATACTTCATTATCTTCCACATAATAAGGGAAGTGCCAGACATATAGTTTATCTCATTGGACCATATGCATAAATTCTTCGGGTTGTTACTTTTACTAAAAGAAGACTAGTAAATCCGCTCATGTGTTGCACAGGAGTGTAGTAAATACATTTAAATAAAAAATATGATAACATTAAAAATAAGACACCATATAATGCAAGTCAACAAAATTATTATGGACATTGCAGACTATAATCAGTTGCCATGAAGAAAACACCCACACAATTTATATTTATCGTTTGTCGTCATCGTATATTACTAACTTTAATCAAAATGAACTTGTACTCTCAAGTCTGTGACATACTTAACTAAACAACAATATAATGAAAAATAGTTTGTGCTAATGTGACTGATAACTCTTGACCAAACGATGATTGCATCACTTGACGAGATAGTTTTAGGGATAACTACAAAAAGATACCTGCGGTTGTACACATTTTCAAATAGGGGACTGAGATTCATTTATTATTCGGAGTACTACATATAAGGGATGTGAAACGCACAGTTGCTTCATTGATAATATATGTATACTCTGGTTTGGAGATTATATGCAGCTCAATTTATGGTTTCTGTGTGGATTGTGAATTCTTTAAATTGATAGTTCTTCATGATAACTTTATTAGCAAGTTCAGAAAATCACAAATTTAGCAATTTGTTTTATCATAAAATACTTCATGAAAAATTACTAAATGATATTTAGAAAGTTTAAAACTTATTACAAATTCTGAAAATGTATATAAATTGAAGAGTTTAGATTTTCTTTTCAGTTTTCCCTAAAAATGTACAGCATCCTTGAGATAAAACCTAAACAGATAATTTTTAATCTTCTTACATGTTCATGAGTAGATTGACAACTCAAATATTGAATAGCTAAATCCTTCTTTGCAAAAATAAATATCATAGTTTTTTTGTAAAAGATCTAAAAGTTTTTGCTCAGGTCTGAACAATATATTGTCGTTCTTATGGGTTTGTGAATTTAACACTTATGTACTGTGGGAGAGGTTGCAAACATTTTTGTGGGTAGACAGCACAGATGTCCCAAAGGTGAGAATTGAATTGAAGGCATTTTACAGTGGATAAACTTGAACTTGATGATAAATTTGGATTTGTGAGGCTATAGTTCAGTAAGGACAAGTTGCATTCTGGTTGAGGTCATTTGCTTGATATGATACTTCTCTTTAAAATGGGCGAGAATGGAAAACAGGACGATAAAAGCTAACTTTAAGCTGTGTTAGGAAGGTGAGAATACAATTAGATCCACACTAGTAATGGAAAAGAATAAAGCGGCCTACAACCGCTGCATTGTTTCAGCGTTCACATCAAGTAAAGATTTTAGAAAAGAAACATGCTTATAAAGAAAGAAAGAATAAAAGAATGAGGATAGCATTAAACATACAGAATGAATCATGTATAGCAGATTAGAATAGCCAAGTTGGGCACAAGAGGTTGGTTTGGATGTCGTCCCCAGAGTAAGGGAGATGGGTAGTGATGAGTTTATCTTCCGTATCAAAGACGTAGAGATTCTTGTCTCCGCGTTCAACAAAGTAAATGCAGTTTCTTCTGAGATTGGGGACATCGCGGCATATGTGAAGGGAGAAATGGCAGCCCAAGAGAAGGGTACGTCCACCAAGGGTATCCAACTCTGCCCATTCACTGGTGCAGAAATCAAATGTAAAAACCCGGAAACACTCCACCGGGCGCGGGGGCCCCCGGGGTCTGTCCACATGCCCACGACTAACTTTGACCACCACAATGACCCCGCCGCCGCGGCCACAACTCTCTGCTGCTAGGAAGCCTTGGTAGCCCTTAATACCGTTTCGTCCGCACATTAAGCTGAGGGGACGGGGAATTTCACCTACCGGTTCAAGCCTCGCATTCCCCTTAGTAACCACAACCCGCACCAAATTGAGTATGGAACAAGCCATTATGCCATACAGATTTCCGCCGATGCTCACCAACGATGCGATTGGATCCGCTAACCTTCCTTCCACAAACCTGCTGTTGTCACCCACGTTGCAAATCCCTACCGTGGACGAGTCTATGTTATACACCGCGACAAGGCCGGCGCCGGGAGTAGAAGTGGATGACGGTGATGATAATGAAAGGCAGGCGAAATCAATGAGTAAATCGAATTTGGGGAGTTGCACCTTATGGAGCGAATAGACGTTGAGAAGGAAGACGTGTTTGGTGTTCTTCAAGTCGTGTACCAGCAACCATCCTCCCCCGCCGCCGTTGGTTTCCATGAGGTATTTGTCTTTCACGAATGCTGATAGATCGGTCTTGTAGGAACGGCTTTCCGAGATGCTGTACAGCACGCCTTGCCTGGGATACATATCTTCCCGAAATAATAGCCTGGGGTGATGATGTTTATGAAGATGCAATTCTTTCCGCCGCCGCCTCCGCCGCCGGGGACTAGTCGGAGGAGTATAATACTGCTCGTCTACAATTTCCCTGGCCGCATCGTGACTAATACCCATTATCTTTTGTTTCAGCTTCTCTAGTGCCCAATTCAACAAATCAAAAACTGTTTCCATTGATAGATTCATCTGCAGCTATCCGGTTTATGAAAGAAGAATGAATCGGGAAGAGAGAATCTCAACAAAATACTTCGTTTTAACCCGTACTTATTATATACGGAGTATCACCACTCTGACCGGAAGACAGCCTACCTAGTAAACCTTGTCCTAGTAGTACACTCCAACGTATTACTATTAACAGTAGAAATACGTTAACACTAGTAATCCATAAATAATATGGATTACTTATCCCCAATCCGACCTTAACATTACCTAATCTAAAATCTTATAAACATGAATGAGGGTTATGAATGAGGGTTAAGGCATTTTAGGGAGAATAAATGTGTTGGTGTAATCATCTAACTTTATTGGATTGTATAATATAATATGCTTTATCACGTGTATTCTTTGAAAAAACTTACTCTTGCCGTTTTATTTCCGTCATAACTGTCCACAACTTCCGTCTATTGATCTTGCGGTTGTATTTATCAATTATCATGTATGCACCGAACTGTTTTCTCTCCATCTTTGGTATTCCATTTAACTTTTCCAAAATCTTTTGAATTTTAGATTTTCACATTAAAAATTAAAAGAAAAGTATGATTTTCCAAGACCATGTGTTACACAGATAACAAAATCCAATCGTTTTGTGTGGCTTGGTGCAAATAATGAATAAGTATTCTAATTCAAGGTTGAGCATTCTAGCCCGCTGCAGTATCTATGTAAAAACTTTATAGAAGATCACGTCGAATGGTCATATATCTTTACAGAGAACTATTACGTTTTGTTCTGGAAACAATTTTTATTCACGCCATCCTTTAAAACCTTGTCAAGTTTGACCGACACACAAATTAATAAAGTATGAATTGTGTGATAGATGTTGTGTAGATGGGGGGAAATTAACAAGAATCATAATTTTTTTACTTAAAAAGAGAAAACGATAAAGTTAGTGGGACAACAATTTTTTTTTGACAAAGAGCGTGTTTGGTAGCACGAAATTAGCTTATTTGGCTAATTGTGCTGAAATTTATGAAGTTCTGCCTGGAGTAGTTGCATTGCCTGATTCTGCACATTTAAAAAAACTAAAATATATTTTATTAATGAAATAAAGAAAAAATTATATGTAAAATAGCTAAAATGGTCATTTACAGTAACTTCATCCAATATAGCCAGAAAAGGAATTCCAAGCTTACTTTTTCTGCTTATTACACAATTCAGCACGCGAAAACAAAGTGTACGTGTTTCTTGAAAAACAGTCTTGCCAAATAGCCTCAAAGTTTTAGGAATGGAGAAAGTATTTTACATACTTCTATTGCATATAGCCTCAAAGTATGATATAGGTACCTTTTTTTTTTATCTTGAAGATGATCTTGAAAATATTAATTCCGTTATGGCTTTGTTTGGCAATCAGCTGTTAACTGTTAGCTGGTAATGACAGCTGGTTGTTTTAGCTGTTTTTGTTGGCTGATTATGTTAGCTTGTTGTCAGTAAATGTTTGGTAAATTAGCTGTTTAAGAATAACTGTTTGCTTGTAAAAAGACATATAAGGACATTAGTATTTAATCTAATTTCTATTTAAGCATTTCAAAAATTGTACGTTGTAATTTCTATTGCAAAGAAATTATATATAAAAAAGGATAGAGGTAAAAAAAAACAAAAAAAAAGGATAAAGGTGAAAATTTGAATATGATCTATGAGATAATTTTAATTATCACCCACTTCAAGCTTGTGAAAAATGTTGACTGAAACGTTTACTTAATTAATTAATAATTGCAAAAAGAAAAGATAAAAAAAAGTAACCTAAAAAAGTAATAGTATAAGAATATACTATCGTAAAACGGGTATATATGCTAATGCTATTATGCTAATTAAGTCTACATGTAGTGTTACCTAGTGCATTAGGCATTATCAGAGAACCGTACAATACTACGCATATAATAGATGATAGAACCAGCTAGGGGCGGGCAAAAATACCGAACCGGCATGGTATCGAACTGAACCGATATGGTACCGGACCGAAAAATGGGGTTTGAAACGGATCTCAATTTTTTTGTCCCGAACCGAACCGTACCGATTCTAAACAATGCCATGACCGGTTCTTATAAAATGAGAACCGGTACCGGAACGAACCGGACCGAACCGGACCGAACCGGACCGAACCGGACCGAAGTATGATTCAATGATTTAAATTTACATTTATACCCTTACTTTGACTACTGTCTTCACACTTTCACCGTCTTTTCCAATTCATAGGAAGCCTGGAATCGTACCGATGTATGGTTTAATTATTTATATTTGTACTACTATAATTTATCTGAAATTCATTAATTATGTAAAATACTACATTTATCCCAAATTGATTTGCAAAATTAACTTTTCTTGGTCAAACAGTTTCAATTTATTCACTAGAATGTCACTTTTTAATTATATTTAATTTGGAGCTTGCAACCTTGAAGAGATTTCAATGTAGTTTCTGAATATGTTTATTTTAATTATTAAAAAATAAATCAATTATCAATAAAGATAATTTAACTTTTAACATGGTTGACAAAAAATTATTGACTTTGCATGTCAATTTGGGATAAAATGAGTATGAAAATTGATAAATTGTGTCGATTTTTGGAGGATGAATAAACTTTAATTTTCTCTTAAGCACTTGAAAAAAGTGGCATTGTTTGGTATTGGTATGGCATGGTACCGTCCCGTTTCAAAATGAAACCGTACCGAACGGGTTTAGGTCTAAGACCGAACCGAACCGAACCGTTTGAATAGTAACGGTACGGGTACGGGTACGGGTTCGGCCAAATATTGGACTGGACCGCGCCCACCCCTAGAACCAGTCAACATGAAACGCTGCAACCTTCAACGTTTCCAACCATCCAATTTTTCGGCTGCTTGGGATGAAGAAGCCAATTCAAGACGCTATTTACCAAACATGTTATTTAGCGGGTCAATTGGTCAAAGAAGCTAAACTCAGTCAAACCAGACAAAAAATGGCTTATAAGCCATTTACCAAACATAGCCTATGTAATTGTATATTTCAAAAAATCACATTCTGTAGAAGTTACTTTTATATCCTTACCTTGAATTTAATATTTATTTACAAAACCCCTTATTCACCACTCTTGCCGCCACGAAGACTACAAAAATAATAACTAAATATTTGTACCACACACATAAATTGGGCACAAATCTAATCGCGCAAAGCGCGTGAAAGTAACTAGTAATCTAATAACCCGCCAATTTATTCTGATGGTCAAACTCGCTGTCTGGATCCGCTAATGACAACTCGCTAACATAACCCGCTATCTGCTAACCGTTGAATGCCGAACACGTCCAAAATAAGAGTTGGCAATAAAAGTAAAGATATTTTAGTTATTGTCCTAAATAGAACTAATGATTAAGAACAAATAGGACTATTACTTTTTAAATTTCCCAAATAGGACTCAACATTGATTTTCTACCCTAAATATCCCAAATGGTATTAATTCACAATGTGATGAAGTTTAATCCAACTACGAGAGCTAAATATATACCTAAAGTATATAAATAATATCGAAAACAATATGACAGTGTAAGGCAATATTACTCTTATTCCGGAAATCCAATTCTCGATCCCTTGGTAGGGTGTTTACATGAAATATTTATGGAGATTAGAAGTAGAATTATGGGACGAATCGAATACAATAAATGCTTAATTAATGAACTATATTCTTGCTCGAAATAGAACTCCCTTCCTGCTTCATTCTCACACAATAATTATCTCTCAGTTCCGGTCGAGTCCTGTCTATTGCCAAATATTTATCATCGAATGATAGCTTGCCACGTAGGTCCTAGGAATATCCTGGTCTCACTAGAACTCCGCCCAGGCTCGAGGTCTGCTATCCAGCCCGACCTGACTGTGGGTTCCTATCGTGGGCCTGATTCCTGGCCGTCTACAATTTCCTTGGCCGCATCGTGACTAATACCCATTACGGAGTATTACTTTTGTTTCAACTTCCCGAGTAACCAATTGAACAAATCAAAAACTGTTTCCATTGATCGATTCTTCTGCCGCTGTCCGATTTTACCTCGCTATACGAAGGAATGGAGGAATCAGGATGAGATAATCTTAACCAATTCCTTATATACGGAGTATCACCAATCCGACCCGAACACTACCTACCTAGCACTAGACTACTAGTAGTACTCCGTATATAACACCGACGTACTCAACTCCTATTGTCACTCACGAGTAGATAATACAGTTATGCCCAGCCCGTCATTGAGGTCATTCCGTGGAGAATGGGTTTGTTTGGTTTTCCGCGGATTGGGGCAAAACCGCTGCATTTTGCAGCGTTTCCCTTTGAAAAAAATAGCGGTTTGGGGTGACCCGTTGTAAAACAAACACCCCCAATGAGGAAACAGGCATTTTTTTTGGCAAGTGTTTCCAAAAGTGATTATTGTACGGAGTAATACTTTCAACTTTTAAGTGATTTTTTCTTATTTCTTTTCAAACCAGACCAGATCAGAACGGATCAACTTAGGCTTAAACAGATCAGACCAAACTTAAATAGACCAATTCGTCTTCGATAATTATGAAATACACAAAGACCATACGTTTTTAATGACTACTGCATATAAAATCTACTTTGAAATCACAAATGATAAGCACAATGCTAATCATAAATGACTACTGCATATAAAATTATAAATTCACATTGCAGAATTAATTATTATAGTTAGTGGTGCTCAGATGTTTCAGGTTACACAATTGCTGGTTCTCTCTCTTGTTCTCTCTGTTGGCTATCTTATAGGCACTGTAAAATAGTTCATTCCCAAAGTACGCTCTTTCTTCATTCAAAAAAAAATTGATGCTGATGGGTTTTCTGAGTAAAGAATCTCAGACGGAGATTGTATAAATCCTTTGATAAAATTTAAAAGTATAAAATATAAGTTGGGGATTTAAAATATATAAGGCACAAAAAAGGTTGGACTGATTCCTTGTTGAGCATTCAATGATAATGGAGGAATACTGTGCTTTCAAAGTAATGGTCCTTTTCGATTGGTATTTGTTCTCAATCCATCAATAATTGGCCTTTTCCATGGAACAAACCTCCATACCATGTTTTCG